GGTACCGATGTACTACTATTGAATCTCGAATTTTGATGATGAAATCAATTGATAAATTATTAATCTAATCCATATGTTGTAAAGAGTGTTATAGGATTAACTATAATAATAAATAAGGGATAAAGCATATGTTGGGTCGGAGTCAAAGATCAGACGATACATCAAAGATTCGGACGATGTGCCGGAAGCTCGTTGAGAGTTCATCGAGAGCTCGTTGAGAGTTCATCGGGAGTTCGCTGTGAGTTCATTAGGAGTTCACCAAGAATTCATTAGGAGTTTGCCAAAAGCTTGCCGAAAGTTCACCGGAAGTTTGTCGAGACTTCGTCGAAAGAACAATTGACATACTAGACAAAAATTACTTAATTAATGTCTTAATTATCATAGTTAGAACTTAGATTGAGTTGGGATTGGGAGGTAATCTCACTAACTCAGTTAGGAGCCAATTAGGCCCAAAACAGGGCTGAGTTGGGCCGGATGGAAGGCCCACTTGGCCACTTGGAGCCACGCCAGGTGGTGGCACCGCCTAGGGTGGAACCGCTTGAGGCTCAGCCTCCCAGGTGGTTTAGGCGGTGGTACCACCCAAACTGAGCGATGGTATCGCCAGTAGTTAATTCTGCCAAGTGGTGGTACCACTAGAGCCCAGTCTCTAAGGCTCTCTCAGGGAGTAGTATGCTAGACTAGACGATGGTACTACCCAATATCGACGGTGTTACTGCCAGTACCCCGGAAACCTGGGATAAGACACTTTTTGGCTTCAATTTTGAAGCCATTGGGGCCTATAAATACCTCACTCTTTTCTGCATGAGGAGGCAGCAAAGTATGAACAAAATTTTGAAGTGTTGGAGTGTGAAAGTGTTGTAAAAGTGCTAAGTGTCATCTTCCTCCCTCTCTAAGCATTGTGATTATTCAAGTGATGTGTGAGGTTTGTAAGGGTTACCTCCTAAACCCGAAAAAGGAGAAAGTGTTGTAAGAAGGTGATTAATCTTTGCCTATTGAAGGAAGACCATTAGTGGATGTCGATGACCTTGACGGAGGAGGAATCAGAAGTGGACGTAGGTCATAATGACTGAACCACTATAAATTCGATGTGTTCTTTCCATACTGCTTACTTTCATTACTTAGCTACACTCTGCATTGTTCATTTACTTCAAGTCGATATCTTCTCGATATGATTTTTTCATTACATTTTTATCAACTTAGAAAGATTTGGAATCGCAATCATAATTTTTATCATTGCACTAACTCACGCCCCACACCCCCCCCCCCCCTCTCTCTTTGTGTTATATTGATCCTAACAACTACCGCCAACATCGGGTAGTACTACTATCATAATAGCGCCACAAATTAAGGCTCTAGCAGTACTATCATTGGCCTGAGCGGTACTACCGTTGAAACCATTGAAAAAGCATAAATAGTTCTTTTCAACTAACTAAGGTGGTACTATTGCTTGGCCCAAGCAATGGTCGAAAAAGCATAAATAGTACTTTTCAACTAACTCAGGTGGTACTATTGCTTGGGCCTGACGGTACCACCGTCTAGGCCTACTTTAGGTCACCGATTTAGCCTTCTGATGGACCCAATTCAGCCCTAGTTCAAGCCCAATGGGTTCCTTAATAAGTTGGCATAGTTTTGACTCAATACCAACTGAATTTGACCCAAAAAAGACTTTGATCAGGACTTTAATAATCCAACCATATATCCAACACAATTATGAAGCTTTTAGCATGTTGTACACCATTCTAGCATGTTGTCTAATCTTTCGGCACTTCGTTCAAACCTTTGGAACATCATCCTTTCCTTTGGCATATCGCTCGATCTATTAGCATATCGACTTTCCAACGGCATCCGATCTTTTGGCGTAATACCTGATCCTTCCGGTACGATGCCTGAACTTATAACACGAAGTCCAATCTTCGACACGTCGACCAATCCTCCAACTCGATGTCCAATTTTCGACATGATACTTTTCCCGGCATAATGTCTAATTCTCCTACTTCGACAATTTATCTTTTGATGGTTCGAGTCCGTGATCGAAGTATTTCCTATGTCACTTATCTCAAAAGTATACTAGTCCATAAACTCATCAATTGATTTCATCATCAAAATTTGATATTCAATAGGATAACATTTTGAACCCTCAAAGAAAGGCAAGTGCAAACAATTCGGTCATCAACAAGAAAGAACTCATAATAATCAAGTTGTCATAAGATGTTATTTATGTGAGAAGACTGATCATGTTTTTACCTCATGCCCCATGAGATAACATGTATATTTTTTTTATCAACAATCGGGGCACATGTCGACTAATTGCATACGAAAGCAACATCAACGCCGAGCTCCACACTAGTAATTAGAGAGAGAGGTCAAGTAAGGGTCTATATACTCACCAATCAAGATGTTGAAGCCTTGGGATCTATCATTTAAGGTATAATCACACTTTGTGGTATGCTTGCTTCTATGCTTATAGATTTTGGTTCTATGTATTCTTTTATATCACCTTATTTTGTTATGAGATTGCATAAGAATCCTGCGACAATCAGTAATACGTTAATGATAGCAACACCAGTTGGAAACTCTCTGATAGCTGATTGGATAGGATAAAGCCTCTCAATCCATTGTTAGGAGAGTACTTCGTTAGGTATTTGATATATGCTACTGATATGATTGACTTATGATCATGAATTCATTTTTCAATTGACGTATATATGTTCCTTCTCAGTGTTGCTAAAATTTTTTGTTTTTGATTTTCTAACCTCTCACTAGCACTAGACCATATTCTAATGGAGAGCATACCTTCTTCAACCATTAGGTAGAGCCACTTGGATGTTTCTTCGAGTTAATATCACTATATTCTTCAATAAAACCTACGGCTAATTTTGACTTATGATTTGATGAATAAATAAATTATAATAAATATTTATAAGTTATTCATAAAATGATGTTTATTTATTTGACTCTGAATGTACTTGTGGAAAGATGTTGTGATCTTGTGAAAAAAAAAATTCAGGATATGACACTATTAGCATCGTAGTCAATGTACTTAAAAAATTTATATTAAAATCTCTATAGTTTTGAAAATAAAATAAATAATCTCATTTGTCCTAATGTCATTAGCTGCATTGACGAAAAACATAACACATGACACCACATACTGGATCGACATGAAAATGATAAGCAAAATGATAATTTTAATATTTATTTTGTTTCCAACGATTTAATGACAAAAAATAATTTCAATAACCCAAATGCTAGAAAATGGAAGGGATGTTGAAATTACCTTTTTTACGCATGATTTTTGTATTGATCCAACACGTGATATCATGTGTTGTGTTTTTCGTCGATACAAATAGGATTCTTTGTTTTACTTTTAGAATTATAGAAAAAATTTTAAGTACGGAGACCACAATACTAATAGGGCTAAATCTACATGGTAATATGTAATGAGCCCTTTAAACTTTTAAATCCTAAGAATTATGCTAACACTTCATGCAGTATCTTAAGCTAACTGCTACTCAAACTCTATATCCTTTTCTTGTCAAATTAGTTTTTCTTGAATTAACTAAATAGTGCTACTTAAAGGAATTCATCTTTGATAAGATTTTTCCTTCACTACCAAAGAGAAGATATTGCTAAATTTGTAGCATTTATATAAACCTAAAAAATAGGCTAATTACATATTATCTCATATAGTTAGTATCTTTAGTATTCTGATCCCTAGATTTAAAAAAGTTACATTGACATCCATATAGTTATAAAAGTGAAATATTTGACCTTATTTCTCCTCACGTTATCAACTTTACCATCGAAAGATATGACACTTCTTGTCACATACACGAATGACACAAAAAAGAGAGATAAAAGAATAATTTCACCAATTAAAAGGCCAAAATCAATAGATGCTTTAATAAAGGGCCGAAGAGTAAGGTCTTCGCTTCGTCTCCACCATTGTTACCCCTATCTTCCGCGACCATCCATACTCCCTCCACCTCAAGGAGGAGGACATTGATGTGGAGGACGATTGGTTTAGCGATGACTATGATGACCTCACTGAAGTTGTCACTAATGGTGAAGCTTCAATCCTCGATCTCACTCCTCTTTACCATGCCCACTACTTCCACACAACCCTCAACCTCGAGGAGTGCTTCCGGTGGTACTACTTTGAGTACCGCAAACTACAACTCACCTTTGACTTCCAAATCTCCTCTTTAACTCCCTTCCGCGAGTCACACTAGATCTTCTTCGCACAAATCGTCGACTTCTTCATCGTCAAGAAGTACCTCGAGAGACTTTTAGGTGGACCACCGACTACTTCATCGTTGATTACTATAGAATCCAAAGCAATAGCTAAAATTTACTTTTTATCTCTTTTCCACGTAATTACTACACATGATAGCACGTGTTGCATCTTCCGTCGATAAAATCAACGACATGAAGAGAAATGAGATTAAATGTTTTACTTTCATAATTATATGGATGTCAATATAATTTTTTTAAGTCTATGGATCGGGATGTTAAAGATGACAAACTATATGAGATAATATATAATTAACCTCTAAAATTACTCGACAACCCAATCTAATTTTAATAAAGACCAATCAATGGTTTTATAACACTCAGATTAATCTCACGTTGAGAATGAAAAAGATTAGATTAAGATTAATTTATAAAGATCTAATGAGTATGCTATCATTAGTTAAACTCTTGTTTGAAGCAGCATTTTTAGCCTTGCAGAATATAAATTACTCAATAATTTTGTTACGTTCATCGAAATTTATCTAATTTTTCATGTATATAACTGTTAAAAAATCTAGTAATTCTATCTAAATTACCCCATAGTTCTGTTTGAAAAAAATAAATTTATGAGCAATAAGCTCACATGTATATTTATTACAAAATGATAAGAAAAGTTTTAGAAAACCGATTATAAGACAATTATATATAGAGAGTTAGAACTATGGATTATTAAATCATTTGAACCTCTACGATGTACAAATCCGACATCCGAAATTGATAACCTTGATTAAAACAAAACATAAACTTAAAAGTTTACCACTCAGGCAAATGGGATGAAAGTGTTGAAGGAGTCTTTCTCCATCCTAAATACTGGAACATGATCCAATTCTAACGACAGGTGACGCATGTAGCCTTTGCCATCTCCAACTGAAAGATCACCTTCAACAACTAAAGAACAGCTTCAGGAGAAGACCCTCATTTCCCATGCCCATCATCCGAAGCAGTGATTCCCAGTTCAACACAAAGTGGTCGAAGTCCTGGTTCCCCCAACAAGCTCAATGCAGCAAAACTATAGTATGAATGATACAGGTCAGGCAGCATGTTCTCTGGGAACTTTGTGAAGCCACCGTACTGCTCAGAGTCAAAGAAAGAATCAACAGCAGCAGCAAAATTACCTTAGAATAACATCAGGAGAGTAGCATCATCACCTTGGACTGGCAAGAAAGTATGAAGTCATGCAGCGCATCCTTATCGATGAACTCGTAAACACCTAGCATCTTCAGTACCCCGCCAACCCTGATTTGGACGAACACAAACTGTAGGTAAACATACTACAGTAGTTGATGTGCTCGCTTACAATTCGACATTTCTTGTTCTTACCAAAAGGCATAACATGTGTCACTGGGCTTGTTACATCTACCTTGAATGCCCCCATCAAATGATTGCCTCTGAAATGAATAAAAGATCTCCGAGTGTCAATATTTTTGTAGTTGCTATGATCAAAATCAAAACAGCAAAGTGAACAAATACAATTCATTGGGTAGTAGATCAACAGTCTTTCTCAATTTCTGATGCCAACCACAAGTATATGAAAAGCTAAATTTATCATTAGTCTTACAAGCTATTCAGCTTGAAGAACCAAAATTTGTGATATACATCCTTAAAAAAATGTAAAATTTAGTCATCAATGCAATGCTTTTGTACTCTTAATATGAATAAAAGGATTAGTAACCTACAGTACCAAACCTTTCATTGGATCCCATAATATTAACATTGCAACATACCTTTAAGCTCCACTCTACCAGCAATGGCACATCAATTACTGCAGACTGTGCTTGTTTAGAACAGATATCTGCTCCAATAAAACCCATTAGCTGGAGAGCTGCAACTCCGCAATAAGTTGCACCACCTGTGTCACTAAAAGAATAACGGGTAATCGGGCTTCCAAAACAGTAAACATCATTAACTGGCACACCCTAAATATAAGAATATAAAACCTAGCCATCCGCTCTAATGAATTGAAGCATCCATCAAGTAAATTTATAGGAATATAAAATCAAGATGGTTTATATAGAACATGCAATGCCAATGGATATACTTACCATGAGACTCTGAACCTGGTACTAAACCAAAGCCACCATCATATGACTGCCAGAAATAGCTTAAAGATTAGGAAACTTATGATGTGAACCCTAGGTTAAGAATTTAGGTTCCTTCCCATTACATACCTGACACTTTACTATATAATCCTTAGCCTTTTCTTTGTCCATTCCAGTCCAATTATTAAGCATAGAACAGATGGCAGCTGAAAAAAATAAACCCAATTCCAAATTACATTAGCAGTCAATGGTAAAAAGAGTGAATGTATAAAGATGCAAAACAAAATTGCTCACCAGCACAGTACACAAAGCGGAGATCCGTTTCTGCCCCAAAATGAATTGGCATAAAGCTGTCAAAGAATGGATAAATTCTTAAAATCTTCTCTGTGGGAAGGTTGGGAAAAGTTGTTGATATTAATTGCTTAGTTTGAGTATCAATTTGAACACTAGCTCACCATGAACATCAGATGAAAGGAATGCTGTCCTTAGACTGCAACACAGAATCCAATACTAAACCAAAATGTACTTCCTTTGCCTATTCCCTATTTGACAAATCACTATGCCCTCCAGAAAATCAAAATTCCTCCTAGTTGTGAAGGACTACTGAAAGTACTAGGCTTATTGCAATATGATGAGAAAATTCTCCATATAACATGCATATCAAACAGGAATACCCATAATCGATGACAATCGTAATTACATAATCACTATTAATCACTAGTAATTACATAATCACTAAGCGTCTAATTGTATACCAAGAAAATTTTGCCTCAAAATGAAATTTCCTTAAATTCATAATCATACATGTTTATATGATTGTGCCCGCAAAAACAAACATTATACATCTAATCATGCAAATGTAATCTCAAAACTGATCTTCCTGGTTCTTCCGCGTGGCAAAGATAAGGCCACAAAAGGTCTTCTGAACATCTAACCATACTTATATTTAGTTAAATGACCTAATTCAGTTATAATCTAGAAAGGATGAACTGTAAATATACCTTCCATCAGGTTGTTGAAGGTTTCTCATTGAAATCAAAATTGATTCAGGACTAATATTTGACAAATTGTAGCCGATCATCTTCAATATGGCTAGAGCACAGTAAGTACTTGCTAAGTGACTACAATTCTGTCTAGAAACCTGTTCAAACATAAAGAAAAACTAAATAACCATATCTGGGGATAGAAAAATTAAATAGGGACATGTTTACCAGCATAAGTTAAATAGAAGCTTATTTGTTGGGCTCATACCTCACAAATACTGGTGGAGAACTGTGAAGTTCTAGATCCACAAAAACCGTAAAATTCTCCTGAGTTGGTAATTGCTCGAGTTAAGGTGCATACACTATAAATAAGAAACAAAGATATCCATATAGCAAGCCACCTTTAAGAAAATTACCACTATCCAAGTCAGCCACCATTCTTGGATGTGCTTGGAAGGACAGAACCCAATTGGCTACTTGATCCTTGTCAACCTAAATCGTAGTTTCTTATTTGAATAAGCAAACATTGAAAAAGATAGAATCAAGAATGCTATAAAATTAAAGTTTCAAAAAGGCCCATGCATAGTTGCCATAATCACAATGCAAAAACTCGAGATTCCTTGGTATGAGCTTAACACTATATGATAATCTAATTTTTTTTCCAACACTATGTCAGGTAAAACATTTCTTAAATTTGTTATAGCACTGAATGTCAAATGTGGGAGCCACTTCAGAATGATCAACCTACATCAGAAGAATCTAAGCTCAAAAACTGAATGTCTGATACCCAATTATTTGAAAAGCCTCATTTACATCCCACTCGTTTACAGCATTCTCCTCGGGACTGGATTTACAGCCTATATGCAGTGGTGTACACATACCTCATTTCGATAGCTCAGATGATGATGTTAATAATAAGATCACAAATGACAGTTGATGCCTTGTTCATAAGTCAGTTATGCATATAACTAGGAAGAAGGAAATGTCACTACAAGAGGTATGTGACTAGAGAGTTGAGCTAGACCAATGCATTGAAGCTTTAATCCTATCACTTGAAAAATTGACCACAGAGGCTTCAAGGATCAGCTTATATGATCTATAATGTATGATAAACCCAGAAACAAAAGCTCATTTTTTCAGTGTAGTATATGCATCAAGTTGACTGAAATATAAGAGATTTTCATAGTATAAAATTTATTTTAATTGAGATAGTGTAGATCTTACTTTCGTACATACATACATACATATATATATATATATATACATATATATATACATATATATACATATATATATACATATATATACATATATATATACATATATATATATATACATATAGAGAGAGAGAGAGAGAGAGAGAGAGAGAGAGAGAGAGAGAGATACCTATCGAAATTGCTGTATTAGGCTGGAAATGTATAAATAAAGAGCCTTTTTGATAACATATCAAAGACTCATGCTGTGTCGATTGAAATTGCATAGACCTGTCAGAGTGACCATTCCGCAACAAAAAGCTACTTGTTTAATTTGTGCGGCCGAGCTCAGATATCATCAAAACACGATTCTCCTATTCCACTATCAAGTATATAGTTTCAAATATAGTTCGACCTAAATCTCACCTATCAAAAATAGTAACTATCTATCATCTCAAGCCACAACCAATCCTAGGAAACAAGTACCAATGTTTTTACTCTGACATTACTGGCTTCAGTAATCCCAAGTCGCACTGACGTATAGATCAAAGCTTCATAATTTCGTTCTAATTCAAGTCAAATCAACAAATAACAACTACGCGAAAAGAAAACTCATTGGAAATGTTGGAAATTTCCATCCGACAATTGCGCGCAAACTAAATTATAACTGATGTGAGATATGCTCCGATTTCATAGCCAAAATTCTTCTTCTAGTGAAATGCTAAGATCTCAGAACGGTATCCAATGAAAGAAGAGGGCCAAGACGTCGACAATACCCAGATCTCTGAAAAATGAGCGGGGATGTAGGTTAGTACCCACCCGATCGAGGGCATCGAGGATGCTGAGGCCGGAGATTGCGAAGTAGGCGAGGGTGAGGCGGTTGATCTCCTGCGACTCGTACTCCTTCGGCAGCCCCAACGCCATCATCTCTAGAAAGAGCAGGTGCCGCTCCCGCTCCAGCCTCGGGCTCGCCGACGCATCCATCGCGGCGACGAATCTCCCCGACCGCAGTGAAGTCGACCGACACCGTTCGCCTTCCGTCCCTCGGCCCGACCGTTCTTTAAACCCAGCCCCGGTGCGGCGGTGGTCATGCCCCAAGCTTGGCGCGGGACCCACTACAAAGGCCTACGGAATGGGCCTTAATGAGCCACTCCGTCATATGGCCCGTTTAATCTTTTGCCAAATGAGTGTATAATTACGAAAAGACCTGTTTGTGGGCTTTGCCCAACTGTTACAATGGCGTAAAGGGCTAATGTTTGGGCCTTATATTGGCCAACTTAAGTGGCCTGCTAATGTCACGACAAATGCTTCAATTGTGAGGCCCAACTTTAGGTTATTAACTTGAATGATATATATATATATATATATATATATATATATATATATATAATAGCTTTACATGACACAGAGCCTCACAAATGCATGGTACACACGTTGAACAAGGTCAAGATCAAGAATAATTCCATTGGATAAACAACATGATCTCCACCACGTCTCATGCAGGTCTCCATCGAGGAACTCATGTTCCCATTTGCTTCTCTTCGGGACGTGCCCTCGAACAGTATCATCTTATTATTGTATGGTTTTACTTGAGTATTTTTAGCTTCGGTCATCCGAAGCTTTTTCGTTTTCTATGAAATTTAGAATGACTTCAACACTTAGACCTACAATTCTCCTTGTGGGGAGCTTCGAATTCTCCATGAGATTTAACTAAAGGCATGTGTGCCTTTTGTGACATGTTTGATGGATAGATTCATTGCATACATGTTTGTCTCGAGCTGCCGGTCATAATACAAAGTAGTTTGGTTCAACAAAGCAGTAGCTATTTAGACTGAGTGGTGAGGAACACTACAGCAAACTGAACATTCATTCTTCCTAAGAATTCCATTCGAAAGTCCAAAGCGATCAGTGTTTTGTACTGAATTCATCTGAACCAAATGTATAATATACAAACTCACTTCTTTCTCATGTGAATTATATATATATATATATATATATATATATATATATATATATATATATATATATATATATATATATATATATATATATATATATATATATATATATATATATATAT